AACCCCTCAAGGGGAATTTGATGGAGTCTTCTATCTGAATGGTTCCCCAACCCTAGCCCATTTTAAGATGAGAGAAAATAAGAGAGAAAGGGGGCTTGAAATTGCCCAAGGTCCTTAGCACCTGGGCAGCAGAATGAGTACACACTCAAGTCACCTGGCACACAGCTTCTCTATGTTGACATGTATTTCTATTTAAACTAGAGTTGCACGTCAAGGCCCTGTACCCCCTCCTTTGATGAAATAAAACACGTGGACATCGGTATTTTACTGTAGGTTAATGGGCAAAAAAAAGGCCACAACTTTTATTGGTTACAGAATGTGAGTGGTATTGGCTTTAGGTATGGACCACCGCCTCGTCGACGTGGGGATCCAGGGCACAGTCCTTTAATGGCTGCGCTCGTTTCTCTCTGGTCGGGGACAGAGGGTGGCGCTTGGGGGGGAACTGTCATCCCGCCACTCCTTGGTGTGTGGAGTGCCTCAGGGTGCGATTCTCTCCCCGATGCTTTTTAACATCTTTATGCGCCCCCTCGCCCAGCTTGTCCGGAGTTTTGGGCTGGGTTGCCATCAGTATGCTGATGACACCCAACTCTATCTGTTGATGGATGGCCATCCTGACTCGGCCCCAGACACACTGATCAGATGCTTGGAAGCTGTGGCTGGATGGTTACGTGGGAGCCGGTTGAAGTTAAATCCTTCGAAGACAGAGGTCCTCTGGCTGGGACAGGACGATATGGGATTGAGGGGGCAACTCCCATCTCTTGCGGGGGTGCAATTAGTGCCAGCACCGTCCGTTAAGAGTTTGGGTGTAATCTTCGATACCTCCCTCTCCATGGAGGCGCAGATTGCAGCTATAACAAAGGCGGCATTTTTTCATCTCCGCCAAGCTAAGCAGTTGGCTCCTTACCTCTCTCGCCCTGACCTAGCCACTGTGATCCATGCGACGGTCACCTCCAGACTGGATTATTGTAACTCGCTCTACGTGGGGCTGCCCTTGAGACTGACCCAGAAACTCCAGCGGGTGCAGAATGCCGCAGCGAGACTCCTTACGGGGTCTTCGCTGCGGGATCACATTCATCCGGTGCTATACCAGCTGCACTGGCTCCCGGTGGAGTACAGGATCAGGTTTAAGGTGCTGGTTTTAACCTTCAAAGCCCTACACGGCCTAGGACCCTCGTATCTACGGGACCGCCTCTCCTGGTATGCCCCACAGAGGAACTTACGGTCCTCAAATAAAAACATCTTGAAGGTCCCAGGCCACAGAGAGGTTAGGCTGGCCTCAACTAGAGCCAGGGCTTTTTCGGCTGCGGCTCCAACCTGGTGGAACGCTCTGTCACAAGAGATAAGGGCCCTGCAGGACTTGACATCTTTCCGCAGGGCCTGCAAGACAGAGCTGTTCCACCAGGCCTTTGGCTAGGGCACAGCCTGACTCCCTCCTTTGGCAATCTTTACAATACTTTAGTTTATGGTTGCCATCAATTTTGATTTTAATTAATTCTTATGATGTTTTATAATGTTGCACTATTTTAGTGTTGTTAGCCGCCCTGAGCCCGGCTTCGGCTGGGGAGGGCGGGATATAAATAAAATTTATTATTATTATTATTATTATTATTATTATTATTATTGGACCCAACTATATCTGACTCCTGCCTGCCATGCAGGAAGTCTCACAAGGGTTAACCACCTGTAGGGGGAGCATGCGAAAGGCTGGGCTGGATGAATCCCAAGCCGGAATTAAGATTGCCGGAAGAAATATCAACAACCTCAGATATGCAGATGACACAACATTGATGGCAGAAAGTGAGGAGGAGTTAAAGAACCTTTTAATGAGGGTGAAAGAGGAGAGCGCAAAATATGGTTTGAAGCTCAACATCAAAAAAACAAAGATCATGGCCACTGGTCCCATCACCTCCTGGCAAATAGAAGGGGAAGAAATGGAGGCAGTGAGAGATTTCACTTTCTTGGGCTCCATGATCACCGCAGATGGTGACAGCAGCCATGAAATTAAGACGCCTGCTTCTTGGGAGAAAAGCAATGACAAACCTAGACAGCATCTTAAAAAGCAGAGAAATCACCTTGCCAACAAAGGTCCGTATAGTTAAAGCTATGGTCTTCCCAGTAGTGATGTATGGAAGTGAGAGCTGGACCATAAAGAAGGCTGATCGCCGAAGAATTGATGCTTTTGAATTATGGTGCTGGAGGAGACTCTTGGGAGTCCAAGAAGATCAAACCTATCCATTCTGAAGGAAATCAGCCCTGAGTGGTCACTGGAAGGACAGATCGTGAAGCTGAGACTCCAATACTTTGGCCACCTCATGAGAAGAGAAGACTCCCTGGAAAAGATCCTGATGTTGGGAAAGATGGAGGGCACAAGGAGAAGGGGACGACAGAGGATGAGATGGATGGACAGTGTTCTCAAAGCTACCAGCATGAGTTTGACTAAACTGTGGGAGGCAGTGGAAGACAGGAGTGCCTGGCGTGCTCTGGTCCATGGGGTCACGAAGAGTCGGTCACGACTAAACGACCAAACAACAACAACAAGGGGGAGCCCTGCTGATGTACATCAACCAGGAGCTTCCCCAAGGTAACCAGAAAGTTTGTGCCATGGCCCTAGCCACCACCTGGGCTTCGGACAGGAACCATGACCCCCAGATTCCTTTAACGGAATACCCTTAAAGGGCAGAGTTAGGTGATGGCCACAACCTCCCCTCCCATAAACCAAGCTTTTCCAATGCCTAACCACCCAACCTTACAAAGTTGTGACGATTTGCTACGAGGTAGGCGAAAACCAAGTGGCTGGTGCCAATCTGCCAAATGGAAAAATTCCAACCAGGCCCCTTCAACAGGCGGCCAACCGAAGTCCATAGCAAGGTCAAGGTGAAGAATGCTAGAAAAAAGGGTGGGAGGGCGGGAGATTCGTGGAAGCCAGGATTAGAGAGGGAGATCTCCTGAGTACGCAGCCGCTTTCATGTGGCAAGCCATGCCCCCCAGCCAGCTGGATTGGCCTGCTGTGGTCGTGAACCGCACCAGGGCTCCCTGTGATGTGGGAGCCCAAACATGCCTCCCCCCCCCCCCGCTGAAAGGCAAAAAGCGCGAGGCCCGCGTGCAACCCCGCCTCTCTCTGAAGAGAAGCGGCTTAAGTATTTCTAAATTTCAGAGAGGAACCAGGGGGGTTGTTGTCATCATCACTGATCAGCACTGATTTGCAATGAAGCAATCGGAAGCACACATTTTGGCCCCCAATCTGCTATCACATCTCTACCTGCTGTGCACATGACATCAGGTGTGGGGCAAGTAGATGTGGTTTGGAGAAAATGGCCAGGCAGGCCAAACTGGAACCCCCACCAGGCCTAATCTGGCCCACAACCAGAGGTTCCAAGCCCTCTGTTTTATTGTGTCACAATTTTTTTTGTATGTGTTTGCTGTAACAGACTAATGTGAGGTGATTCTTCAGAGACATCAAATCCCAAGTGCTTCTCTTACTTTTCTATAACCTTTGCTTTCCATCCTGTTTTTTCCTCTGCAGTAACATAATGGAGGAGTAAGAAAGGATCCTTCACAGTAACTTTTCAGCTCAGCGCTTGCTGGGTTGGGTTTTGGGGTGGGGGTGGAGTGTGGAGTGTGGAGTGTGTTTCTGGGAAGCTGCAGGGCAGTTACAGAACTCCAGGTAATATAACTGCTTCCTAAATGTGGTGCAAAAATGGGGCAAAATGCCAATGTTTTAATTTTATTTAGTTTGTTCCTTTAATAACAACAGGACGTCACCAATGTGCACTATGTTTTTATAATCACTGGGAACTGGTTCCATATACAACAATTTCCAGAAGGATAGCTGTGTTAGGTTTGTTGCAGCACAATAACAAAAAAAGTCTTGTAGTACCTTAAAAACCAACATATTGATGGCTACATAAGTGTTCGTGGACTACAGTCTGGGATTTTGCAGGTTCTGTCTACTCATCCTTTCCACTTAACCATCCCCTTACTTACGAATTCCTGCAGACAACTGACTTATGGCTAGGACCTAGAAACTTGTATTGTACCAACACTTTCCTCTGATTTTCAGAGCATTCTATAAATTAACAAGAAAAGAAATTACGTTTGAAAATTAACAAAGAGAAGAGAAAAGTTTGAGGTGTGGGCTTGTTGTGCTTATCTTACTTTTAAGATCATCAAGGGGTGTTTGTATGGCTGTCCTTTCTTTCACTGTACAAAGCATCTCTCTAGTGGCTTGCAGCCTTCCTGGGAGCCCCTGCTTCCTGAAAATCTTTGGTTCAGCTTTCCTGTAAGTGCTGGGTGGTGAGAAAGCTGTCCACCATGCTTCTGACAGCTATTCATTGTTGCTGTTTTGCAAATGAAGTCTCTTCTGCTGTTAAAGAAATAGGGGAGGGCATTCTGAAAGATGAAAGGAAGGACTTCCCTTCAAAAAAACCACCCCAACCCCCAAATTCTGAGGCTCTCAGTAACCTGATTCCTGGTTTCCTACACTTCTCCAAACAGGGAAGACATCATAGAGCAGCTCCTCCAATGCACTTTTTCAGATTAGGAAGCAGAACATGGAAGCAACAGAGCAATGGGGAAATATTTAATCAGGGGTGGGGTGGGGTGGAACCCCATACTTACTGAAAGCTTATGCTTTCTAAAGTCACCTGCAAATGAGACTGAAAAATGGATGCCTCTTTTGCAGAGAAAGAAAACTGCCAAGAAATTGGAAGAGAGGTCTTGGAACATCAATTTAGCATTCACCCCACCATTGAAATGCTACTTCCTTGTCTCCATTTCAAACACTATAATTAAGACTCAGAGCTGCATTGTGTTTTTTTCTCATGGAAAGGTAAGTTTTTCCCCCCAGCAGTGGAACATCCATAGAGTACAAGGAAATTTGCAAGGGTTGCCATTCTCATCTCTTCAGTGAGCATCAAAGACCAGGAACAGTATATGTCACTAGGTGCTGATTCTGCACTTCACTTCTCACAGATTAAATCCTCCTCACAGATTAAATGTGAATGAAAATGGTTGGCTGCAACAAAACATTTGTGGCCGAGTTCATATTTTTGGGGTTCTCCAATCAACCAAGGGTGCAGCTGCTGCTCTTTGTGGTGTTTCTGGCTTGTTATCTGTTCACAGTGTTTGGGAACGTCATCATCATCTCAGTTGTCAGCACTTACCCTCGGCTTCATACACCCATGTACTTCTTCATTATCAATTTGTCTTTCTTAGACATTTATTATGTCTCCACCAATGTCCCCCAGATGCTGATGAACCTTGTGACCAGAAGGAAAACTATCTCATTCTGGGGTTGTGCAATCCAGATGTATTTTTCCCTGGCGTTTGGCATGACAGAGTGCTTTCTGCTTGGCGTCATGGCTTATGATCGGTATGTGGCAATCTGTCAGCCTTTGCTTTACACGGCCATCATGAACTGGAAGCTCTGTGCTCAGCTGGCTGCTTTTTGCTGGTGCAGCAGTTTGATGAGCTCCATGATTATTAACATTTTCACCTTACAATTGCCTTTCTGTGGTCCTAACATCTTGAACCATTATTTCTGTGAGGTGCCAGCAGTGCTGTCTTTGGCTTCCACTGACACTTACCTTGCTGAAATGGTTGTCTTTGTTTTCAGCGTTATCATAGTCTTCATTCCCTTCCTGTTTATTATTGTCTCATACACCTACATTTTCTTAGCTGTGCTGCGGATACAAACTGCCCAAGGAAGGGTCAAGGCATTCTCTACCTGTGCATCCCACCTCACCGTTGTCACCATATTTTATGGGACAGCCATCTTCATGTACATGCGACCAAGGTCGAAGTCCTCACGAGACGGGGACAAAGTGATTGCTTTGTTTTATACCATTATAATGCCCATGCTTAACCCCCTGATATATAGCCTAAGGAACAAGGATGTGAAAGATGCTCTGAAGAGACCATTGGTGCTAATAAGATGATGGGCTTTTCTGACCAGATGGTACCCAGAAATAACTTTTTGTTATTAAGCAGCATATAAATCTCTCACTAAGGAATGATGGACATGTCAGTCAGGATTTAAGCCAGGTTCCACCCTGTATGATGACCTCTGCCAGGAGAGAGGCAGGGGAAATGTGTCCCTGTTAATTCTCCTTGAGCTCTCAGTAGCTTTCAATGCCATCAGCCACTTCTGGAGCAGGTGTCTGAGTTAGGGATGGGCAGCTCCACTTTGAAGTGGTTCCAGTCCAGCTTGAATTGTCATTTCCAGAGGGTGATGCTTGGGGAGTGCTCTTCAGCCCCATGGAGCCTTCAAAGTGGGGTTCCTAAGGGTTCAATTTCATCCCCTTTGCTGTTTAACATGAAACCACTGAGTGGGGTTATCCAGAGTTTTGGAATATGTTGTCATAAATATGCTGATGACACACAGCTCTACTTCCCCTTTACATCTGCAGTTGTGGCTGGGGATGTGCTGGACTATTGTCTTACCTTGATAATGGATTGGATGAGTATGCTACAACAGCAGCAACAATACTTATTGCAAAGTATTGGAAGACACAAGATCTACCCACCCTGGAAGAATGGCAGATGAAGGTGATGGACTATATGGAACTGGCGGAAATGACCGGCAGAATCCGAGACCAGGGAGAAGAGTCGGTGGAAGAAGATTGGAAGAAATTTAAAGACTATTTACAGAAATATTGCAAAATTAATGAATGTTAGAATGATGTCGGAATGAAGTTGAGTGGTTTTTAGCAGCAATGTTATAAAGGTGTATGTAAAAATGGATTGTTAACAGGTGAGAATCTAAAGTTATAATATATTAAGATAAAGGATTAAGATAAAAACATAGAGGGGAAGGATTTGCTGAATTAACTAATTGAACCGGAATACAAAAAAGGGAGGTGTGAGGAGGTCAGGGAAACAAGTAAATGAAAGACAAGACATGGAAAGATTGATTTGTTTTTAATTGTTTTTATTTTTCTGTACTTTGTAATTTCTTTTTTCTTTTTTTTCTTTTTCTTATTTTTGTAACATTTTTTGAAACTTTAATAAATATCTTTTTTTTAAAAAAAAGATAATGGATTGGATGAGAAGCAACAACTGTAGCTCAATTCAGACAAGACTGAGGCACTGTTTCTGGGTGGTTCCCTAGACTGAATGGATGGGAGGTTGCCTGCTCTTGATGGGGTTATACTTCTTCTGAAGGAGTGGGTACTTCTGGACCCTTTGCTATTGCTTGAAGCTCATGTGGTTTCAGTGGCACAGAGTGCCTTTCATCAACCTATTATAGTGGTCATGAAGGCCCAAGCTAGACCAGTGAGAGCTGGTCATCAGCATACACAATGACAATGAAGTCCCCTAAACAATAGTCAGCAGTCCTAGTCAGGGCTTTTTCCCCCAGTTGGGACTCACTGGAACACAGTTCTAGCTCCTCTCAGATGGGCACCATTGCCATTCTAAGAGAACAAGAGTTTCATGGTGAGTCCTAGCACCTCTTTTTCTAGAAAAATAGCACACTAGTCCTAGGGTTCTCCAACACCATGCTGAAGACCACCTTCACTAAATCAGATAAGGACGAGGTGCCAGCATCCCCAGTGTGACTCTGTGACTCACAACTAGGTGCAAGGATGTGAAATATGTTCTGGCGAGACAACTGATGCCAATGAGCTGGTAGTTGTTGTTTTTTTCTGGACATTTCTCAGAGAACTTTTTGTTATTTATGAGCATATAAATCTCATTGATGAATCCCATGCATAAAAAGAAAGTTTGATCAAAGGAATCCTTGTCTGTTTGTGGCCAGATGGTTGTCATTATTTATTTTTGACATGGTCGATCACGAACTCCTGGACCACCGCCTTGCCGACGTGGGGATCCAGGGCACAGTCCTTCAATGGCTGCGCTCGTTTCTCTCTGGTCAGGGACAGAGGGTGGCGCTTGGTGGGGAATTGTCATCATGCCACTCCTTGGTGTGTGGAGTACCTCAGGATGCGATACTCTCCCCGATGCTTTTTAACATCTTTATGCGCCCCCTCGCCCAGCTTGTCCGGAGTTTTGGGCTGGGTTGCCATCAGTATGCTGATGACACCCAACTCTATCTGTTGGTGGATGGCCATCCTGACTCGGCTCCAGACACACTGGCCAGATGTTTGGAAGCTGCGGCTGGATGGTTATGTGGGAGCCGGTTGAAGCTAAATCCTCGAAGAGGTCCTGTGGCTGGGACGGGACAATATGGGATTGGGGGGGCAACTCCCATCTCTCCCGGGGGCGCAATTAGTGCCAGCACCGTCCGTTAAGAGTTTGGGTGTAATCTTCGACACCTCCCTTTCCATGGAGGCGCAGATTGCAGCTATAACAAAGGCAGCATTTTTCCATCTCCCCCAAGCTAAGCAGTTGGCTCCTTACCTCTCTCGCCCTGACCTAGCCACTGTGATCCACGTGACGGTCACCTCCAGACTGGATTATTGTAACTCGCTCTACATGGGGCTGCCCTTGAGACAGACCCAGAAACTCCAGCGGGTGCAGAATGCTGCAGCGAGACTCCTTACGGGGTCCTCGCTGCGAGATCACATTCACCCGGTGCTATACCAGCTGCACTGGCTCCCGGTGGAGTACAGGATCATGTTTAAGGTGCTGGTTTTAACCTTTAAAGCCCTATACGGCCTAGGAGCCTCGTACCTACAGGACCGCCTCTCCTGGTATGTCCCACAGAGAAACTTACGGTCTTCAAATAAAAACATCTTGAAGGTCCCAGGCCAGAGAGAGGTTAGGCTGGCCTCAACTAGAGCCAGGGCTTTCTTGGCTGTGGCTCCGATCTGGTGGAACACTCTGTCACAAGAGACTAGGGCCCTGCAGGACTTGACATCTTTCCGCAGGGCCTGCAAGACAGAGCTGTTCCACCAGGCCTTTGGCCAGGGCACAGCCTGACTCCCTCCTTCGGCAATCTTCGCGGGGTTTGATTTGAATTAATTTTATAATGAATGATTTTAGAGTGTTGTGTTGTACTGTTGTACTGTTTTATTGTTGTTAGCCGCCCTGAGCCCGGCTTCGGCTGGGGAGGGCGGGATATAAATAAAATTTATTTTGATTGATTGATTGATTGATTGATTGATTGACTGACTGACTGACTGACTGACTGACTTACGAGCCAGTGTGGTGTAGTGGTTAAGAGTGATAGACTCGAAATCTGGGTTCGCGTCTCCGCTCCTCCACATGCAGCTACCTTGGGCTAGTCACACTTCTCTGAAGTCTCTCAGCCCCACTCACCTCACAGAGTGTTTGTTGTGGGGGTGGAAGGAAAAGGAGATTGTTAGCCGCTTTGAGACTCCTTCGGGTAGTGATAAAGCGGGATATCAAAATCCAAATCCAAAACTCTTACTGGCTTACTCACTTATTTAATTTGCATAGTTCCCTTCATCTGTAGATCTCAGGGAGGTTCACAGCATAAAAATACAAGATAAAAACACAAAATACGTAATAAAAACAAGAACAAAAACAAAGAAAAAACAAATAAAACCCTTCCCCCATTCCCTCCCATGAAAACAGTTAAAAGGATATAGGATGTTAGTTAGCCCAAGGTCTGGTTGAAGAGGAACGTTTTCACTTGATGCCTGATGAAGACCCCAGTGGAAATTATCTGCAAAAGCATTCTGCAATTGGAGAGCTACTGCAGGAATCTTGTGTTTCCACCATCTGGACCTCTCCCGGAGGAGGAACACAAAGAAGGGCCTGAGAGGATGATTGCAGGGTCCAGTTTGATTCAAATGGAGAGAGGCCTTGAGGTATTGCAGTCCTGAGCCATTTAAGGTTTTGTGGGTCAAAACCAGCACTTTGAATTGGGCCCAGAAACTAATTGGCAGCCAGTGTAGTTGGGCCAGGATCAGTGTAATATGCTCAAACCATCTTGCCCTGGAGAGCAATCTGGCCACCAAAGTTGTGCCAGCTGAAGTTTCTGAACAGTTTTCAGAGGCAGCCCAACATATAACACATTGCAATAATCTAACCTAGAAGCACAGACAACAGTAGTTAGCTTATCCCTGTCCAGATAGGGGCATTACTGATCCACTAGCCAAGCTGGTGGACAGCACTCCATGCCACTGAAACCACATGAGCCTCAAACACCAGGAAAGGGTCCAGAAATACCCCCAAGCTATGTACCCGCTCCTTCAGAAGAAGTGTAATCCCATAAAGAGCAGACAAGCTCCCATCTATTTGGTCTAAGAAACCACACACTAGCAGTGCCTCAGGAGATAAAACTGAACCCTGAGGAACCCTGCTTTGAAGAGCACTCCCCAAGCAACAGCCTCTGGAAATGACCATCCAAACAGGACCAGAACCACTTCAAAGTAGAGCTGCCCACCCCTTACTCAGACACCTGCTTCAGAAGGATATCATTGTTGAAGGTATCAAAATCCACTGAGAAGTCAAAGAGAATAAACAAGTTCACATTTCCTCCTCTTCAAATGCATGTGTTTGAAAGGATGTGTGAAAGATCAAGTTCTGGGCAGCCAAGCACAGATACCGGTACATTTACAAATTCGTGTGAGTGTGTGTGTGTGTGTGTGTGTGTGTGTGTGTGAGAGAGAGAGAGAGAGAGAGAGAGAGAGAGAGAGAGAGAGACTCCACAGGGCCATCCTGTTAGGCTGCAACAGATTGCAATGGATTGCTTTGAAGTCACTTCAGCATCAGATGACCCCCCCCCCTGCAAACCACCCTAATATATAATGTGCAGAGGAGGGCAACCAAGTTGATTAAGGGGCTGGTTCAACCAAGGTTGAAGGAGCTGGAAAAGAGACTGAGAGGAGATGTGGTTGCAATCTTCAAATATCTCAAGGGCTGTCACATGGAAGATGGAACAAGTTTGTTTTGTGCTGCTCTGGAGGATAGAACTTGAGCCAATACCTTCAAGTTACAAGAAAGGAGATTCTGACTAGACATATGGGAAAACTTTCTGATAGTAAGAGCTGTTTGACAGTGGAACAGT